GCGTGATGGGAGCCAATAAAAACCTTTACCCTTTTATGGAGCTGTGATATAACTCGCCCGATGTTTTTTGTTTTTTTTTTCAGCACTGTTTTTTATTTAGCAAACAAATGACTGAAAAAACAGGCAACATCTCTATTCCTGGGTGTTACTTCCCATCCTGTTTGGCATGAAGAGCTAACTTTTTCAATTTTCTCGAAGTCGTCACGTCATGCTGAAGCTGATGACCCGAGTTTGTTTTCAGATGTTACAATTTCAATGATTCAACCGTCATATTACGAAGTGAAATTTAAGACAGCTTATTCCATAGGCTTTTACCCCCTTTTCACTAACAAAATTATAGGAGAGCAGAGTGGGGGAAGGCGGGACACAAAGCCTATAGGGACCGACCAATATGTCGCTATTTTCAGTAGAAACGGAGCATCCTAGAGGCGCCTGCACCCGCGTGAGTTAGAAGCACTGCCAGGCGCGGGCCAAAAATAAGTTAGTGGCGTCAGCCGAGACTTGAGTGGCTCACTCGGTAGGTCGCTTCTGACATATGACTGAACCAGAGGCTAAACTCCCGCAAAAACCACGCCGAAAAAAATTAACACACTGGTTAGTCCGTCAATACTACGGACTACGCTGAAAAAATGTCAATATCGTGGTTAACGACTAAATGTCAAATGAGCAACTTTGTAATAAAACTTTATACGAACGTTCAAACAACTAAATATCACAAACCTTAAGCTTTCGGGGTCAATACGTTTATAGTCTCACATGGCTACTAGGGCTGCCACTTTAAAAACCCTCCAAATAATTTTCCTCACCATTTATTACAAACTTCAGTATAGAAACATACACAGTACAGTTCATACAAATTCACTGTGTGTAAAAAATATACTGGCAAACCCTCAACTTATTTTAATCTAATATAATCTAACCAATGCCAAAAAAAAAAGAAATTATATTTATTTCTGAATATCACAGATACACTTGTCAATCTCAAAGAAATAAAAATCCTAATATGACCAAATAAAATGACTATTGTTAGAGCAAAGAAAAACAATTACAATTCTCAAATATCTAAGAAAATTAAAAAAGAAAGAATATATTTTACTCCTCACTGAAATAAATATATATATATATAATGTGTGTGTGTGCATGTGTAATAAACAATCTTATAACCAAAAAAATACAAAGAAGCAATTACCATTCCACAAACACAAGTGAATGACATTTATAAGTTGTATACACCACATTACTAATTTATCTATGTACTAGATGAGTATAGATATGAAAAAGAGATTTATGATCACATTATGAACCAAATTACTAAGAAAAATTTGCAAGACAAAAACCATCTGACAAGCTCAATTCAGTAATGATCTTCAGAGGCTGTTAATCCAGAGCTGGCACTTGAGTATGGATACTTGTAGGTCAACAACACTAACAGACCAGTCAAACTAACAACAACAAAAGGGTGGTATGACCTATTTACACCAATGAACAAGGCTTTGGTTACTGCCCATATTTCTAATGTTCTAATACATATCTTACTAGATAATAGCTGAGGCAGCCATTCATTTATTTCAACCTTAGATATTATGGTTTAAATGTTGTTAAGTGTCTCACTTTCATTATGGCATAATGAAAAAAATGCATAATACAATAACTTTAACATCATTATTAACAGTACTGGTACTGAAATTCAACTTCAAGTGCACAGCAGCCTTGGGGAAGAGTTTGCTATATTATTAAACAGGAAACAAATTTAACATATAACTATTAGCAAGAGGCATGCTTAGACACCCTATTATACTGTTTAAGAAATGTTATTACTATAAAAAGAATATTTAAAATAAAAACTGATAAAAAAGGAGCAGTTTATGATATTAATAAATTATTTGTTCTTCTTCAAACCAGAATAGTATGGTTAAAAATGATTAATCTTTAGAACAAAAAGTATTAACATATTAGACAGATACATGGTATATATTTATATGTAATAAAAATATATTTAATTAGCTATAGTAATGAACAGGTTAATTTTTAGTTTCACTCCAGGAACATGGCTTAGTCTGATTAGATTATTGTCATTACTTCACTTTCAAAATATTTTAACCCTTCTCATATTTACATGTATATTTAAATTCTTTGGTTTTACACTTGATTGACAACATGCAGATTCCCTGAAACAATTACTTATGAGTATAACATATCTAACAAGTTTCAAAGTTCTTTTAAACTCATGCTGTGTGCTAAATTTAAGAACTTAATAGAATACATAAACTTTACATCAAAGTTTTTAAGATATCATGGTTAAAAGCTGTACATACAATACAAATCTAAAGAAGGAAAAAAAAAGATAGTGAAATTTTGTCAAGGAAAGAATCATGCCACACATATAACTACTCTGAGGGAAAAATCAACTTAATATTCAATAATGTCTTTTGCCTAATTAATCTTATCTTTCAAGCAGTTTTAACAAAAACTGTTAGTGACAATTGGAACAGAAAACGAATATATACTGTAGGTCAGAACTTACAGCTCTTAAGTTGGTGTGAAACTAACAAAGCTTTCAACACAATCTATAATTGCTATTATATGTGTTAATGTTGATTTCTTTGTTTTGGAAAAATATTATTATAGCTTTTGAATTGTTTAGCAGTATCCTTATATAAAGTTACTAACTTGAAAACAATCATCCCTGGTAGAAAGTAAATTCTTTTGGTTTATTTTTTGACACCATTTCTTGTGAGAGTTCAGCTACTCTATTTTCATAATTTGTATTCATCAAAAGTTAAATTTCTTTAAACATAAGCTTCTTTGTCAAGATTAAGGATTTTTATAAAAAAAAAGGATGCAAAATACACAATTTCTGTAATTCTACATCTGAAACATTATATTGTATTTAACATCTGACAAAGTTAATAAACTTCAACTAACTTGGATAGGCTCTTAAAATAGTCAAAGGAGTTTTTTTTCTATCTAAACTAGCTAATACTTTAGAACTAGGTAACTAGGAATCTTAAATGTTTAATATTATTCAAGTCAAACTCTAAAGTACTTAAACATAAAAATGTTCAATAATTTACATCATACACAAGTTTTGAATAATAGAAAAGAAACTGTGAACATAAATGGCTTTCTGGCAATTTTTTACTAATACAAAAATGTATTACTAATTAACCTGATATTTAGTGAATGAGCTATATGTTCTTTAAGGTTATTTTTAATATTGTGAAACATAATAATATTCAACACATTGGCCTCAGCTTTAGTAAATCAATGGATATAAAGGTTTAAAAAGTATATATGTACTGTGGTTGTTCTAACAATTTTGAGTCAGTAGTTGATGTTGTTATTTTAACAGATACACTTACTGCTTCAAGTGTTTTTATATTTGTTATGTCCAAGTTAGTGTTGAAAAATTTCACAGAATATATAAAAAAATTAATACTCTCACAACAAAAGCAAACAATAGACACAGTATGTTTAATTCCAATAAAGTATGTGTGCCAAACTGTAACAGGCCAGAGAAGCTAATAACAGGTTGACTTTTAAAGTTTTTACAAAAGACCCCTGGCTATCTGCAATAGAAAAGGTTGAATGGTTCAGTTTAGTTGTACATCTTTTAAGACATGTTAAATAAAATACTTCTCTACACATCTTGCTGTTTCTCTGGAAAGTTTTAAACTTTTTCAGTAATGATGTAATATCAAAATTATAAAAAAATATAACTACAGTTTTTCATTAGTTGAATGAAACTAAAATTTAACATTTGTTATTTAAAAAGATAATATTTTGGAGGAAGCATATTACAAGATAATCAAGGTATTGAAACACAGAAATTGTGTATACTTATCAGCCAGTGTATCTACCTACTGGTTCATTTTAATGAAAACAAGCATTTTCATGGCTTCCAACAGAAGTACAAAGAGCAGGAAAATAGAACTAGACAAATGCCATAAATATGAATTAGTTATTAAAGTATTTGAAACATATTCTGGTTCCTCACACTTTTTGTACAATAAAAAATTTGGCTGAAGAGATATGATTTCTTTCTAAGGTCCCATTATAAATCCCACAAGTTTAATTTAAATATCCATAAAACAAAATAATTAGCAGTTAATACCTATAATGAAAATCTGACTTTTACAAGTTTAAGTAGGAAGGAATTGTTGATTGGTTTTACACTTGCAAATATTGAACTAAAAAAAAAAATACTTTCCCAATAATTTCTGGTTTCCCAATATGATTATCTGCAATGACATACAGTTTTTCTGTTTGTCAAATCTGTTTCACAAATCAACACAATGGGCTATCTGCACTCAGCCTACCAAAAGTATCAAAACCTGGTTTATAGTATTGTAAATCCATAGACATGCCACTGTACCACTGGAGGGCATGAGGTACAGCCTTGAATGTATGTTTAAAAAATAATATGGTATTTCATTAAAAAATTAAAGTATAAAATCAATCTAATAATAATAGGTAAAAGTGCCATGAAAACAATTAAACTTACTCAATGGCTGTTAGAAATGTGACTACCAAAATGTAAGTAATGCATGTAAGAAATCCATAAATTCTACTTTTCTATAATGAATTATATTTTTTATAACTAGCATACCCTTACTATTAAAATGAGTACATATGAAGGAGAAAGTGTGTGTGCTGATAATATTTAGTCATTTTACATAAAATTCTGAAACTCCTTGATCAAATTTGATTCTTTGGATCATCTTTCAAAATACCATTTCCTTAAGAACACAAACAACCTACGTTCACATATTTGAACAGTATCTTTACCAATTTTGATAACTTCACTGCAAGCTGAATTTTCAGTATTTCCATTTTACTTTTCTAATTACTGTTAACAGAGAACTGGTTACTGCTTTTTTTTTTCATTACGAAAACTGTATAAAACATAAGTAACTATAATTCATTATAATACTTTGAAAACATTAATCAATAATTAACCAGCTGCTGTAATTAAGCAAATTAGATGGCGATTAACTTACTTTATGAAGTATCTTTGTCCTGATGACGTTTTTGCCATCTCCCACCCTGGAGGGAGAGGGACACTATCGGTACTGTCAGCACTCTGTTGTCTCAAATGTTGATTTTGGGGAGTGTTTTGATTGTAGCTTTGCTGCAGTGTAGCTGGAGAAGAATGTGTATGACGGTGACTTACGGTTAAACCACTTGCTTGCTGTCGAGGCGACGGTGCTGTCGAACTTGGCCCAACGGAAGACGGAGGTGAGAATGTTCCTTCAAAACTCGATTCTCTGCTGTGAGAAGCAGATTTTGATCCTCCTTCTGGTGGCTGAAAAAAAGATCGTGGGAGGTTTCGAAGTCTCATAGGAGGCCCACCCAATTGCACTTGACTGTCTCTCGGGAGCATTGCAGCTTTGAAAAGGTCATCTAAAATCAAATTCGTTTCGCTGTCGTAGCACACGGTTTGATTGGGTCCTTTTTGCTCGACGACATCCCTTAACTGGGACATCTTAGCGTTTTCAGCTCTTTCCTGGATTACTTTATAAAATACCCAGGGTCGCGATGACGTTTCGAATAAATTATAATCATAGACTGTCGAAATAATACGGTATGGCACTTGTCCGGATGCTACGCTGAATTTTATAACGTCCTACCTCCTTAGCTGTCTGATCTCGCACTACTCAGGTACGTACACTGTTGTGCGAAGTGAGAGAGAAAAGCGACTGCAGCGACCTCACTAATTACTATCCATTTCTGTTTCTCAGTTGTGAACCCTCAGTGGCTCATATTTATTCGGGTTGCCTTACGTTGGCAACGCTGTCATAACTTGAGTACAGCAAGTGATGAAATAAGACGTTTAAACACTCATGAAAAGTTCATAATGTGTATTCAACCTCAATCATTAGTTAAATTTCATATTTTAATCACTCACTTTTTTTATTATTATTATCATTATTATTTAAATAGCCTCGCCAACAGTTCACGTTATACAAACATACAATACTCGTGAAACTGTTTTTGGTATTCAACAACGTCCAAATGCACAATAAAGTATAAGTGTTTAATTTGACTATACCCTTGCGTCAATTAGAAGGGAAATAATGTTTATATTTTAACTTTTGGAAATATAACGGAGGTGCCTCTAGTATTTTTAAAAATATACGCAAGGGTGTGGATAGGGGCCAAGGCCTGAAAGGCGGAAGCTTCAGGGTTTTATTCTTTAATAACCTTTAAATTTATCAAAATCAAATTTAGAGGCAAACAGTTTAAACTTTTCTTTTTACCTCTTTTTTGTATATAGTTTATTTTTGCAGCGTTGAACTTATACGCAGATACGTATTTTATGTAATGGGCACGGCGCCTCTGAATGACTCAACATGCTCTGTACGTTAAATTGGACGGTGACGCTCATTTAACATTTAATTTACAAATCTGAAATATCAAGATGTCCCAATCCAGCGTTTTCCAAACTTCAAATATCGGCGTCACTCTAACTCAGCAAAGTTTCCGTTGCACCCCCTTCGTATTAAAATAATTTTCGCAAGTAATATAATAGTTTTTTTTAATGAAAGAAATGCTTGTAAGGAGTGAGTAAATACGAGAGCAAAAAATAAAAAAAGCTTTGAGATCAAAGTGATAGTTTTCTTAGGTTATCGTCGTCTCCAACTCTTCTGTTTCTTTCGTCGTTATGTTTGGGCTCTCCTGCCTGAGAGACCCTCCCCAGAGTGGTGCGCCCCCACAGTTTTGAAAACGCCGTCCATTCAAGTGAGATCTACTTATAACTTAACAGAATTAAGTGTGGTAAACCTTTAACTACTATTTTTATTTCATCGAAACGACGCATTTTTTAACATAGCAGTCACAATACAAACATCGCTACTGATTTTCTAGTACTTCGCAGGTGTGGGCTGAACCCCAATCCCGTATTATATACATTGTAGTGACGCAAGTAGTAGGAGGCGAAAGATACTACCGCTCTCCCAGCCATTGAAGTCATAATACCTGCCAGTATGCAAGACTTTTGGATTATGTGACGTACAACACAATGAACTTTATAATATTTTATGCAAGGAAATGGTGGGATCTTTAAGTTTTATCTTTCTGACATAGTTTGAGCCAACATTTCTTTGATTAAGCTCTATAACACCATGATGATATTTAAAATGTTTTAGAAAGTTTATTAATATAGGTATTTAAAGGTAACTTAATGAAGAATCTAAGATGTTAAAAAATTAATAGTTAAATTTCATTAGCATTTTGAAACTGTTTGGTTTACATACATATATCTTGAAAATAATAACCTTAAGATCAAAATATACAATAAAATACACCATGAGAAGAAAATCATATTCAAAAACCTATTTTGGAAATCAAACCAGCATATTTCTAATGCATTTATGAAAGAATGCATCTTCACAAAACTATTTATTTTTCCATTATCTTGATTGACTTACAAAAATACTAACTCTGTATCACAATATAGAACTTTGACATTTATTCATATTCAAAAGTCTCATGCAAACTTGTTTTCTGGTTCATTATGGATTATAATAAACCAATCGTATCTCTTTGTTACTCTTGTTCATTTCTAAATTAATACATTTTTGTAAGATTAAGCTTAAGAAGTATAGTGCTAATTAAAGCCCAGAGATGATTATCATAAAACATGCATCATCACAAGCAAAGTTTCTAAGAAATAAGTTTTTCAATAAGCATTCATTCCAAACCATTTATACTTTATGATTTAGTATGTATACCTTTTTCATTTTCCTACTGTACAGAAAAATAGTCTCCCACCAAACAAAGGGTTCTCAAACAAGATTAAGAGATTAGTATGAGTATTACTTTAAGCTTCATTTTTCAGAATTTGTCATTAAACATAAGCAAACTCATCCTTGGCTAATAAAAATAGAAAAATATAGTGTTTTATGTTCTGTCATAGAAACCATACACATTACTGGCCTTTATTAAAAAATAAATGTACAAACATCTCAAAAGTTTGTGTATATAATTAGCTATTTAAGTTATTTAGCTGATATTGTGTATTTTAACAAGAATCTTTGCAAATAGTACGTTATTAACCACAGAAAGTCCAGTGCATGTAGTTATTTAATCATTCTTTTCTTTTTATTTATGCTACTTTTGTCCAGCATTTTTATATCAGTGGCATACATCTTTAACATTTGTAATGTTAGACTGATTCAGTGATCACAGTCTAATCATGAAAAAATGTTCTTGTGTTAAGTTGGTCATACTGAATCTTAATCAGGTCTGATAAAGAACCTCTAAATGATTTATTTGTTTGATACTTTTTGTACAAGTCTACACACATGTTATCTGTACATAGCTGGCTCTAATTTCAAACTAAAAGACTAGAGTGAAGGCAGCCAGTCAACAGCAATCACTGCCAACTCTTGGACTACCTACATCTGAGTGAATAATGGGATTTGAATGTCATTCTTATAGTGCACCACACACACAGCCTAAAAGGGTAGAAAGCATTTCTGTACCACTAGCATGTGAACCATATACTCTCAGATAGACATTCTAGGCATGTTTACTACTAGGCCATGCCCAGCCTTCGTGTAAATGAAGTGATGGTCTTCAATCAATTGATCAAAACAGCTTGTCCACTCAACATTTCAATGTTGACATTATTTTACAAATTACTCAGATAATAGGAGGCTGGAACTCTAAGAATAAACAAACGTTTGAAGAGACCATTAAAGATCAGTTTTTGACAAAGCATTCATCAAGAAAACCTTAAAACAGAAATTAATCTAAGTCTCTGTACTTTTTTTACTACAAAAAAAAAAATAATAATCAAGATTTTTGTCTGTAAGCTCAAACTTGTGACCAGTTAATGGGAATATGGAAGTATCATGATGCAAGAAATGAGTAATGACTTAAAACATAAGAGAGATTTAAATTTGAATGCAGGCAAACTTAGGCTTACAAAACAAAAAGAGCACCCCAAATGATCTAAAGCAAGGACTTCACAAACATCCTAATCTCAAGAAAAACATGGTTTTTGAGTTGATCCTAAGAAGGATTCCACTCAGAGAACAACTTAAGATTACCCTTGGCTCACTGTAAGAAAGTAAACATGGGGGAAGTATTAATCTGAAAGTTCCAAGGGATCCATGAAAATGTGATGAATAAGGCTAAGAACTAAGTGACAAAAGGAAAAACATTAAATGAACATTATCAAAATGCATTAAAAAACCTTCAAATTCACAACCAAGGCACGAAAAAAGAGAGAAGAATGGAATACTAACATAGGTTGAAATGAACTCACCTTCATTATCAGAATTAAAAATACAAATCCACAAGTCAATCTTTCACTCAAAGATAGAAAGATGTCTAAAAATTTAACTTCATGGTTTCAAAGATAAAAAAACTAGTAAAAAGGAAAACCAGAAGATACAGATAGGAATTCTTGTCAAATTTGTAAAATTATCTTGATTATCAAACTATGACAAAAAAAAGCATCTAAAGAAAATTTAATTTAGTTTAAATTGACACAAAATTTTTAGCAAAAAACGATTGCTAACTGAATACTTAAACTTCAGGAGATGTCAACAAAGTAAACAAATAACTCAATAATAAAAAAAATAGTGTGGTGGAAATTTTAGCAAACATTTGAAAATACAAAAAAAAAGTATTTTTATTCGGTATAGTAACATGGGAAGGATTGAACTGATAATGAAATGTTGAGAATTTTATATTGTTGTATGTAATTGTTGTATATTTCCTACAGAAACATATGCCATGCCCAAGCAGAACTTGAACCTTATATCAAATTGCCAAGTAGATTTCCTACTAATTTTTAATATTCAATTCTCTGGTTTATTAGGATGATAACTTGCAGGATTACCATACTATGCCAATCAATTTTAAGTTCAGAATACATGTGTTAATATTTTTGGTGGGATTTAATGAAAATATTTTTTCAAGCCAGTAGTAATTTTTCCAGGTGGGATAAAGCATAGATCAGGTAAGTTAACATTTTCCTCAATTGAAAATGTATTTCCAATAATACTTCCCTTCGCTTACACTTATAGCTATTACTCAACCACCAGGGTTTCTTCTTTGCCCATCTGAGCATTAGTCTGATTTTTTCTTGCTTGATCCAGTCTTTTATACTACACTCAACTGACCTTGGAGATATTTGTATCATGATACTCTCCACATATGTCAATGCACCCTCTATCCTGGTACTGTATATAAGCACCTCATTCAGATAATTGTACCACTTTTTCCGTTCTGATACCATCCCAGTCTCTAACAACAGCTCTTAGTGGGGAGGAAGGTCAGAAGAGTGTCAGCAGAGGTAAGTATTATTGGAAATACATTTTCAATGTAGGAAAATCTTAACTTCCAAACATACTTACCTCTGCTGCCACTTATAGCTAGAATCCCACATTGAGAAGGTGGAGGGGCCAGTGAGGGCATTATCCATGCAGAAAGAGTCTGCATAGATCATGGGTGTACCAAGATAATAGTGGTACCCAAGTGGGGGAACCACACTACACCCAGAACAGGTATGTTCTTCACCTTGAATTTAGTTCTTGTATCAAGGAAGGAATTGTACACGCATATTCATCACTATAGGCCAGCCTCAACCAGACGATTGAGGTTCCACTACTCGAGGTTGGAATTAAGGGGTCTAGTCCCCATCCCACATTGGTGGCTAAGGCAATTGGACTGCAATTTTATATATAGATATACTTTTTACTGGATCCCAACGTATAGCTGTAGAGTGATGCATTCTGAACTACCAGAATCACGATGAGAAGGTAAGCAACACCTAAGTGGACAAACCTTTTC